AAACCATTTCAGGTGACTACCTCTTGAAGCTCATGGAGAGAATGCCAAGAGTGTGCAAAGCAGTAATCAGAGCAAAGGGTGGCTATTTTGAAGAAACTAGAATATAAAACATGTTTTCAGTTATTTCACCTTTTTTTGTTAAGTACATAACTCCACATGTGTTCATTCATAGTTTTGATGCCTTCAGTGAGAATCTACAATGTAAATAGTCATGAAAATAAAGAAAACGCATTGAATGAGAAGGTGTGTCCAAACTTTTGGCCTGTACTGTATATATAGTGACAACCCCTCCGCTCCACTAGTTGTCCCTGCCCTTTTCTGCTGTGTTTTCTCTCTTGCAGGAAGCAGGGCGGAGGGTGTCGCCAGCTTGATCAGCTGATGGGATCATCAGCCTGATGAGCCACTCCTGTGTGGGCTCTTAAAAGCTCCCCTCCTGCCTGTCATCTCTCTCTTGCTGGTCTGGTCAGAGGGGCGGGCTGCTGCTGTTTGTTTTGTTGCTCTCTCCCTACATTTTCACACATCCACACATGCTGACACTACTGATTACTGACTTTCACGTTTACCTTAGTTTGATTATCTTTTGTAAATAAATACTTTTTTTTTTTTTTGCATGGTAAAACTCGTCTTGTCTCCCATCTTTGTCACTGCCTCAGAGCCGGGCTGTGACAAATGGGAGCTTGTCAAAACTCGGTGACGTCAGAGATCAGCTGTAGCTGTAGTAAGTGATGCGCCTTGTTTTTGTGAATGAGTTGCACAGTCTGTGTTTTGTTTGGGAGACGTTTGACGAGTGTGGTAAGTCTGTTTGTCATTTTGGTTAAGCAGCGTTAAGAAGTCTGTTTGTTCTGAGGAGAGTGTTTTGTCGCCAGGCTGTGTTGTGTGTTTTTTTGGTTTTGTTTTTTTTTTGTGTGCGCTGAGTTTGTTTGGTCCTGTGCACAGCAGTAGTAAGTCGCTGTTGTTCTGTCCCTGTAGGGCTTAAGAGCGAGTTCCCTTTGGAGTTTGTTTGGGGGGTGTTAGTGTGGCATGAAAGTGGCTGGAGCAAATTGTCTCGGGAGCACATCCGGAGCTGCAGGTGAGTCGCCATTCTATGGTTGCTTTGCCGGGCTGATGGGCTTTAGTGCATAAAAACCCACCACAAGTAACACCTGAAGACTAGGTGGGAGCTTAGCTAGATTCTGGAGCTGGAGATTCTGAAGCCTTTAAATTGTCCAGTGATGATTTTACCAAATGATAAATCATCTGTGGTCCTGTGAATCCCAACATTAGTACGGTTTTGTATTTCTCTGTAATGTAGCATTGTTAACAATGTTACTTATACTATTCATTCTCAGACCTGGAACTCACTTTTGGTTGCCCCACCCAAAATATATAATTTGGTAATTAAATCAATATCGTAAACATGCAGACAACAAATTGACTAATGGCCCTATATGAAGACTATTGCTCGACTAGGAAAATTCTTAGTCGGGGGCAGCCCTAGTCATGTCCTTCCAAGTTTTACTGCTCCAGCTGTCAGTCAGCTCACATTTAATTTTTCTATGCAGAAAATAAACAGCACTTTTACAGACACCCAAACTATCTCCTCCCAGCAGGCAGCTCTACTGTCCCCCTGTGCTATTACATGTGGTTCTAGGGCGAAAGCATAAATACCTGTATTATTTAGCTCTGTAAATCACACAGCTGCTGCTCCCCGTATGTGGACCAGTATCCAGATGCTCTTTAACAACTATGTCCCCTCTCAAACTAGTAATTATGCTGGTGCAGTTTTGCTCTCAGCCCAGTAAATATGCACCATCTCTACACACACCACCACTCTGCCTCCCTGCCACTGGGTTACAGTGAAGGTCTGAATACCTCCCACTACATTGCTGTCATTTCACAAGTCTAATCCCCAATTCACTGACCTGTCAACACATGCACCACCGTGCAGACAAACATGCACGCACACACACACACGCGCGCGCGCACACACACACACACACACACACACACACACACACACATAAACACAATGCACATGAGTTTCAACGTGATTTTTAATAACTTATTCAGAGCTTAATCTTAATCTACAAGCTGGAACATGCTGACAAAAAGAGCTGAACAAACAGAACTTGGCCTGGAAATAATTGTGTGTTTATGTGTGTCTTGGAGGAGTTGTGTCTACACTAAATTACTGAACAATCGCTGCTCTAACATTCAGTGCTGTGTTTAATTACAGTACAAAGATAGCAACATGGAGATACCTTTGACACTCTGACTAACACTGGTCTGACAGACAAGACAAGTGTTTACCAGAGTGAAACACCAAGGTGTTTTTTTTTTCCTGAGGGGCTGTTTCTTTGTCTGTGACATGTTGCAGTTGCCAGAGATAAGACCCACAGATAAGTCAGATTGAGGGGTGAAGGGAAACCTTAGCTTATTTTACAAGACCAACAAGACAAGACAAACAATACATTTCTTCTCCTGTGCTTCAAAGAAACAACCAGAAATGAATACAGCATCTTTTTGATTAATGAACACGGCACTGCGTACATTGTTCTGCCATTCTATATTAGGAGCAAAGAAACAAAAGGAGACACCATATTGATTCAGTGCTCCAAATTGTGAGGCAGCTCTTAATACTGTATGTACTGTAAGAGAGACAGAGGGAGACTGTTCAGTCTTCTTGCCAGATTAACTCTGTGTCCTCAACTTTTCCCAGTTCAGTCCCTCTCTGACAGCAGCTGCTTATATTGGCTAATTCTAAACCATACTGATAAATACACTTTCATGAATCTCACTCAGGTCAAGTTTGTACTGATTTAATTTTGCAACTGTGCCCATCCTTTTGCATCAGCATGTAAGGGTCATTGCAATTAAAAAACAAAACAAAAGAAACAGGGGAAGGGGATTATATTTGGAGAAAAACTCAGAATTTCTACGATTAAAGTAATATTTTTTGGGTCTAAATGTTTTTTAAAAAAACATTGCAAGGGAAATTTGAATACTCTGAGATGATACAGTCATACATTTGTGAGAAAGAACTCCGAAATTCTCATATTCCTGTCTCATCTTAAGCCTGTTGTGTTTGTAACAGCAAGAAGTTATTATCCAAGTAGTCTCTGATCGCACAGTGGAGAAGTTTGCCTTTAGGGCTTCTGCCAGAAAATCAAGTGACGTGGTATAAGGGTAACCGAAGCACATTTTATCACTCCCTTCGAAACCACCACAATTGACAAACACTAATTTTACATCAATGAACATTGCAGCTGCTGGTCTACCACTGCCTCCATTGGTAGTTTTGTGTTATTGTGTGACTCTGGTGAATCCAGACTAACCCTTTAAAGCAGTGGTTCCCAACCTTTTTTCTTCCTTTTCTATCACTGAGTAAACTGACAACTCCTGATTTAGTGACATATTTTAATGATATTTCATGCTTTATTCAATGCATAACAATAACAATATACAGAACAACTGGTAAACTGTACCATTAACCAAAATTGTAAACGCAATAACTGCAGGAAGTTTGTATAAAATAAGTGATTTTGATTCCTTTTGAGCTAATTATTTCCTGTGAATATTTCATCAGTTTTTATCTGTCACAGTGTCTCCTGGATTACGGCTGTCAGGCAGGTTGTTTGTTTTCCTTCCCCTCCCCCCTCACTCTGCACTCTGCCAGCCCAGCAATCATCTACACCTGTTCCTGCCTCTGGTATCTCACACACCTGATCCTAATCTCATTATCACCCAACCACTACAAGAGCTGACTCTGACCTGCAGTCACTGCCGAATTGTCTTCAAAACACGGTTTGTGTACTGTGACACCAGCCAGCTTTAAGCAAAGATTTTTGCTCCTTCAGAGTTTTTTGAAACTTGTTTTGACTTTTTCTTCTGTCTGCTAGAAAGCCAACCTGCCAGCCCTGCCAGACATTCGGACCACAAGCCTGCCAGCAGCCCTCCTATCCAGAACCATTTATCCGCTTCAACCGGCTTCCACACCATTCCCTCCATTCATCCCTTATTGAACTTCTGTAATAAAGACTGTTAACCTGCCATTGTCTGACTCTTGGTTCTTCTGCACTAGCTGTGCCATTATCAAGCTTTCCTGATATTTTTAGTAACATTTAATACAATACTCTGCATCATGTATTTCTAACAAACATACATATTTAAAATGCCTCTCTTATGACAAATTTAGTGTTTTCTTCTCCCTGATGCTTAGCCATTGTTCTGATAGCTCTTTGGTTCTTTTAACTGCTTACTTTTTTAATGCTAGATGATGTTGTTTAGCAGAGACTGAAGGCTCTGTCAGTTTTCTCTGTGAGCAGTGGCGTAGGGTAATTACAACGGGCCCCAGTGTACGCTGGGCCCTATTACACGCTGTTGTGCACATATTGTCTCATCAGAGACTCAACACTGGACAACATAAACACATATGTTACTTCATTTAATGTTTTTCACAGTAAAGAGTGAAATGCTGAAATATAGCTAGGCCTTCTGTATGTACATACAGTACAGGCCAAAGGTTTGGACACACCTTCTCATTCAATGCGTTTTCTTTATTTTCATGACTATTTACATTGTAGATTCTCACTGAAGGCATCAAAACTATGAATGAACACATGTGGAGTTATGTACTTAACAAAAAAAGGTGAAATAACTGAAAACATGTTTTATATTCTAGTTTCTTCAAAATAGCCACCCTTTGCTCTGATTACTGCTTTGCACACTCTTGGCATTCTCTCCATGAGCTTCAAGAGGTAGTCACCTGAAATGGTTTTCCAACAGTCTTGAAGGAGTTCCCAGAGGTGTTTAGCACTTGTTGGCCCCTTTGCCTTCACTCTGCGGTCCAGCTCACCCCAAACCATCTCGATTGGGTTCAGGTCCGGTGACTGTGGAGGCCAGGTCATCTGCCGCAGCACTCCATCACTCTCCTTCTTGGTCAAATAGCCCTTACACAGCCTGGAGGTGTGTTTGGGGTCATTGTCCTGTTGAAAAATAAATGATCGTCCAACTAAACGCAAACCGGATGGGATGGCATGTCGCTGCAGGATGCTGTGGTAGCCATGCTGGTTCAGTGTGCCTTCAATTTTGAATAAATCCCCAACAGTGTCACCAGCAAAACACCCCCACACCATCACACCTCCTCCTCCATGCTTCACAGTGGGAACCAGGCATGTGGAATCCATCCGTTCACCTTTTCTGCGTCTCACAAAGACACGGCGGTTGGAACCAAAGATCTCAAATTTGGACTCATCAGACCAAAGCACAGATTTCCACTGGTCTAATGTCCATTCCTTGTGTTTCTTGGCCCAAACAAATCTCTTCTGCTTGTTGCCTCTCCTTAGCAGTGGTTTCCTAGCAGCTATTTGACCATGAAGGCCTGATTGGCGCAGTCTCCTCTTAACAGTTGTTCTAGAGATGGGTCTGCTGCTAGAACTCTGTGTGGCATTCATCTGGTCTCTGATCTGAGCTGCTGTTAACTTGCGATTTCTGAGGCTGGTGACTCGGATGAACTTATCCTCAGAAGCAGAGGTGACTCTTGGTCTTCCTTTCCTGGGTCGGTCCTCATGTGTGCCAGTTTCGTTGTAGCGCTTGATGGTTTTTGCGACTCCACTTGGGGACACATTTAAAGTTTTTGCAATTTTCCGGACTGACTGACCTTCATTTCTTAAAGTAATGATGGCCACTCGTTTTTCTTTAGTTAGCTGATTGGTTCTTGCCATAATATGAATTTTAACAGTTGTCCAATAGGGCTGTCGGCTGTGTATTAACCTGACTTCTGCACAACACAACTGATGGTCCCAACCCCATTGATAAAGCAAGAAATTCCACTAATTAACCCTGATAAGGCACACCTGTGAAGTGGAAACCATTTCAGGTGACTACCTCTTGAAGCTCATGGAGAGAATGCCAAGAGTGTGCAAAGCAGTAATCAGAGCAAAGGGTGGCTATTTTGAAGAAACTAGAATATAAAACATGTTTTCAGTTATTTCACCTTTTTTTGTTAAGTACATAACTCCACATGTGTTCATTCATAGTTTTGATGCCTTCAGTGAGAATCTACAATGTAAATAGTCATGAAAATAAAGAAAACGCATTGAATGAGAAGGTGTGTCCAAACTTTTGGCCTGTACTGTATGTTTTAAATTTTCTTACACACCAGGCTCTGGACTCCATAAGAAGCCCTTGTGACCCCAATCTGGGGAAGCCATTCCTTTCAATCTATATTATCCCAATAGAATGGTAATAGCTACACAAAAAGGTTACAGTACAATTGCAAAAAAAAATATCAGAAATGTAGTATTATATTTTTATAACCAACAAGTTTCCTGTTACTAGAACAAATTTAATCAGGCTATTTTAAAATGTTTTATTACATTTTACAGGTTGCTACTTACACATTCAATTGATCAGCAATTTCTTGCCAGGGTTTCTCTCTGGTTTTGTTTATAGCAGCAGTGTAACCTTTTTTGCTTATGTTTGAAATCTTCAAATGTTTCTACAAGTAAGCGCTGCTCGGTGGCCACGAACATTGCCACTTTGTCTTTACTATGGCTGTTTGCCGTGGTGTATCAATATGATCCATGTTCGACCTCTCAAGGTGCTTAAGAATAGCGTGCACACACAATTATCTTGAGTTCTTGAACCTGTGTCTACTTAGTCTGATTGCGTGAACTTGAATTGACCTTTACAGAACTGCTTTAGCCCCGACTGATTTGTTAGGTTCGTTCAAGTCAGGATTTGGACTTAAATCCCAACTTTTCTTACACTTTACCAAACAAAGATCAGCTGCCTCCACGTAAAGCCAGGTAGACCTACAATTGCTGTCAGTGGAGTCTCACCTTGTAGGTAGCATGTTTCAGTTCCCCGTCAGGAACGGCTGTCTGATAGCAAGGTAAAGTGGGTAAAATATTACCAATAAAGCATTTGAACCAATACTGATTTTTTTAGGTGGCTAAAATATGTATTGTAATCTCATGCACTTGCACATCTCACATGTGCCTCTGCTGTTTAAAGCTGAAGTGTTTTAAATAGTAATGTTTTAGTGAAAGTGCATGTGTTGTGAAGTACTGAAAATACAATTGGATAAATGGATTACACTACAGGAATTGTGTGAGAGTTTGTAAACAGATGTGTTAATATAGTTTGCCGCTGTGGCCCTCTTTTATTCACTTCATCAAGAACTTTTTTTCTGTTACTGGATTCCTCATTCATTGGAGGCATGCAAGGAAAACAGTGGGTTTGTTTTTTCACAAATTCAGTGTAACATGGTGAGTAATGGATATACAAACCGTCATTTGGGGGCTGAAGCATTCCTTTAAGAGTCTTCAACTCTTGAACTAGTTTTTCTGTGGATGTTCCCTGTGCTCAGCATGTAAAAATATTTCATAATGGCAATACTAACATGCATATGATTAGCAAGTATAACGTTTACCACGTTTTTCTTGTTTGCATGTTAGGTTTAAAATGGTTTAGTTTTAGCTGGCTAATATGTGTGTGTGTGTGTGTGTGTGTGTGTGTGTGTGTGTGTTTTGTGCCAAACATATGCATGATAGCATTGCCAGCAGCTTGACTGAAGCAGTCATGAGTTAAGGGCCTTGCTCAAGGGAAGGTGCAAGCCCTGCCCAGATTTATCTGGCAAGACCAGGGGTAGAACCTTCCAGTCACAAGCCCACCTGTCTAACCATTCAGCTATCACTGCCCCCACTGCCACAAAGAGCATCAGCAAAATCTTCCCCTCACTCAAATTTCTGTGGAGACCGACACTGAAAGCTGAATGTCATACACAGTACATTCTCCTACCAACAGTATTCTGTTGTGTCAGTGTATTCTATTCATATTACATAACCTCTATGATTCTGGAATGATCCTTTAATACATTTAGTTCTGCACTGCATTGCAATGTTCACTATGGCTAGCATCTGTATTTGTCATGGCATGCAAGGCTTTGGCTTTAAAAATGACAGTGAAGCGTAGCATGTAGTGGTACATGATAGCGGTGTGAAGAATCAGAGAGGGAAGACACAGTATTAAAAAAATAGACTCATGACACAGAGACAGTGAGGCTGTGATTGTGCTATATGTTTGGGGAATACCTTGTTGGGCTGCTCTATCTCTGACTGCACAAAAAGCCTTTCACCAGGCCTGTCTGATATGTCTGAGGAGGAACACAGCAGCTCTGTGTGTGTGTGCGTGTGTGTGTGTGTGTGTGTGTGTGTGTGTGTGTGTGTGTGTGTGTGTGTATGAGGGGTGAAAGGTATCAGCGAACACACACACACTGCATTCACTGCGTACTTGATACGTGTACATTACATGTGCAACCATCACCGTGTACTTGCTTCGCGTGCAATGCGCGTGCATTCACCGTGTACTTGTTACACATGCAATGCGCCTGCAATGCCTGCACACACCTAGACGTGTGGTTGTTAGACGTGCGTGCGTTGTGATCGCAGGGGTCAAAAGTGTCAGCTCGAAGCAACAATGCGTCGTGTGACAGGTAGCATGTCATAAGAAAATTATTATAAATTTCAATAGAATAAACTTCTCTGATTAACTGAAAACAATTATACAATAATGAAAAAAATAAAAGCCTATCGAAAATATAAGTCAAATCAAGTAAATTGATCATCTAAAAAAGCCCATTTTACTGCGCGCGAGACTCACAGCGAGCAACTGACACTGAAGTGTCCCAAAATGCGTGTGACAGATCATCTGTTATAAAACTTGCAGCTTTATATCAAAGAAAAAATGTGTCTCATGAAATTGTTATATTTTTAATGTAAACTGTAAATGTATGTCTATTTAACGTTTAGAGTGATTCCAGCATATGGTAGTCTGAGTAGACTGTTAGCATTGTGACTGAAAATATTTCCCCATAATTTACATGGAGTATTAGATTTTTAAAAGGTATCAAACTATTTGAATGCATTGCAGAGTAGAGAGTTTCACCCTCCTGGTCACAGGCTGAGGTGGATTAAAATGAGGTGTGTTAATTCAGCACCATGGA